CAGATCCAATGCTCCATATTTCCAGTTATATTAGTGTAATTTCTGTCTGAGAATTAAAAATTGTAGAAGTGTACCAAAATGAAGTGTCATATCATGTTAAGCATAGGTGAAGTATATTTTGAACTATTGACTCAGAAGCAACTTGTCAGTTTAACTTTAGATATTCACGAAAGAATAAAATTCAGAAGTAGTATACATCATGAACTGAAATCAGCTGGAGAACCACTGAAAGCCTGGGAGCACTGGATAGCTGTATCGTCTTCTTAGTATGGGACTTCTCAGCGGTACGCACCCACAATCCGACTAGGGATCGAACTCAGGACCTTTAGGTTTCACGAAGAACGCTTCAATCATTCAGCTACTGGGTCGGTTTTGAGTGGTTCACAATTTTCAACTTCTGTCACTTCACGCATTGCGCAACTATCACCCAGAGTCTTCAGTTAGCATCTGCTTCACTTAGATCTTCACACATAAAAATCTTATGAGTATGAAACAGCACAGCACACAGTAAATGATACAGTATTATTTACTTGATGATAACCTTTCGGGTAGAAATCATTATTCGTCATAATCATATCAATGTAATCAAACAGAGCTACCAACATCTAATTTTTATAGTCCTGTCATTGCATATTATTTGTTTCTGGTGGCAGTAAAATAAGTGTTGTGTCATCCGCATTACATAGGTTGGTTGTTGATTCGATGAACAAAGGTTAAGCAATCAATCTCTCTCTCTCTATCTCCACCAAGTTATATCCGACTTCAGTTCAGTTGTTTTATCCCACACATCCTGTTGTGTGGTTGTGTGTTTTAGTCTATCCATTGCAGTTACCTAGTTCTTTTCTAGATTAATCTTATTCGGGTCCATCATTCCATATTTAGCTAAATTCCTATGTTCAGCTATTTTAACTGACTCTGACGGAGTAGTTTCACCTATGTACGCAACCTACTTTGCAGTCATAACGTGGAACTTGGTAGATTAGATTATTTTGCTGAATTCGTTCCCGTCGGATACTTACACCAGCCGATGAAGCTTATCTTTGAGTGTGTTGGCATGTTTAAATGTCACCCTAATTCCAGCCTTGTTGAGAATCCTATGTAGAGTTTCTGACTCAACCTATTTCTATTTATGTTGTCACCATTACTTGTATTCTTATTAATGTTATTATAACGTTTTTTATGTGTTCATACAATTTTTTCATAAACTGTACAGGATAATTATTATTGATTAGGTCCTTAGACTGACTAGCCAGTTTTCCAACTATCTCACTCAGATATTTGACTAAACTCGCCTTCACTGACATTGGGTTACATGACTTGAAAATTAAATATCTGTTTTCGGTAACTCTCCTTGTTCATTTTCTACCACATAAGTGAATTGAATTGCGACTACTACTGATTGTGGTTGACTGGATCATGCAGCAGACAACTATGAGAAGCAAGAGGATGGGCATAAGGTGCACCGATGAAAAGACCCCAGAAGAAGATTTGGATTTCGCCAATGATTTATGTCGAATGTCCTGTCATACAAACTCGAAGATCTACAGGCAAGAACTAGCCAGTTGACAGAAGAGGCAGAAAAAATAGGACTGTAGCGAAGACAGAGGTGATGAAGATACCCAACCAACGACGCCATCAACAATAAGCAACAATCACCATTAACGGGAAAAATATAAAGGAAGTAGTCTCTTTCACCTACCTGCTCAAGCAGTATCGTTTTGACTACAAGCATCACAGGCATAGACGAGGATGTCAAAACCAGGATCGGAAAGACAGGCCTTCTACCATTAATCTGAAATCAGTGTGGAGATCTACGGCACTAAGTATAAAGCTTGAACACCAATCCAGTCAAGTCAGTGCTTCTATGTGATGATTGGGAAACTTGGCGTGTCACGAAAAGCACTTCCAACAAACTACAGACATTCATCAACAACTGCCTACTCTGGCTCGATACTGAAGATCAGATGGATGACCAGAAAGAATCAACAACAAGTAACTCTGGCTGACTGGCAACGAACCAACCAACTCAGCAGGTATGTAGAAGAATGTGGAGATGGATTGGGCATACACTGGGAAGGCCGATTAAGGACATCACATCCCCGGCCTGGCACATGAGTGGATTCCAAAGGAAAACCAAGAGTTGGGAGTTTGAAAAGAAGGTGAAATGGAGAAGATGATGTGAGGAAGAAATGAAAGGTTTCGGCTAATCAGGAAACCAGGTTAAAAAGACTACCGAGAAGAGAGTTCAATGAAGGCGTGCTACTGAAGCGGTATGCTTCACTAGGAGCCCGAGAGACAGATAATAATAATAATGCTGACTTTATATGTGTTAGTAAGTTGTCAATATGTTGATGGAATGGACACCAAATTACGTAATAAGAGTGATGCAACATATAGGCAAGTGAAATGCAAATCTTACTTTCAATGAGAACAAATAATATGAGGTGATAGGACTGTAAAAAGAAGCTGTCGACAGCTCTATGTGATTACATTGATTTGATTATGAGTTGTACTCATTTATGCTCAAAACGTTCTTATCAAGTAAATAATGCTGTATCACACTTTTCGCTATATATATCAGATAAATAAATGTCATATGGAACTGGAGTTAGTGTTTTTCAGACATGCTATGTTATATCATTTTACGACAGTGGGATTTTTCTCAATATTTTCTTTTCTTGAATGGGGATATATTTACTCAAACCGTGTGATATGGGAATTTTTCTCAAAGATTAGAAATGTTCTTATCATAGATTTTTTTTGTCATTGACTGATATCAGTTGGAGAAACATTTGGAACCTGGGAGCACTCGATAGCTGTTTCGTCCTACAATCCGACTCCTCAGCAGCACGCACACACGACCCCCCCCCCCCCCAACCAGGATTCTAACTCACTACCTTCAGGTCCCGTGGCCAGTATATTACCATCGATTCACTGGGTCGAAAACCACTGCTCCATATTTCCAACTTCTGTCAGTTCCTGACATACGGTGACCACCATCGAATGACATAGTTGAGTATTTGTCATCACGGCCACCAGGTTCACCAACATGAGAAATGTATAAATCCTTACAAACCCTCCAATGCAGCTTCAGGAGGTGATTTGTGAAGTTCCGATGACAAGTCATGATTATTGAGGTGACCGATGTGGTGGTGAGGAGAAATACTGAACCATGATATTGTTTGGCGTGGCGTTATGTGGTTAACTGACAGGAGTTGTAAATAGGACCCACTGTCTTCGAACTTAGTGGCTCAATGGTGAGTTATTGGTCACTGAAGCTGAAGTTTGTGGGTTCACACCACTGAGGAATCGCAGAAGCCAGGAAAGAATAGCCGTCTAGTGCCCGTAGGTTTTTAATGTTCGTCTAACTGATGTCAGTTCATGATGTGAGTACCAACTTGAAAAATCTGTAATTCCTAAGAAACCTCTGAATTCCAGTATAGGAGAACCAAATGATTACACTCAATGTCCACGCGTGAATAAGGGAGAGGATGAATGAATGTTGTTACTGAATGTGATAGATATATGTATTTATATACTTTAAATCATGTGAATCATATTCTGTTCATAAAAGGAGATTTCGCCTAGATGTAACATATTTGTTCAGGTTTGATTTCGTTCGCTGTTTAAACAATTATTATTTTTCTCCAGGGTTCCTAGTGTAACATAGGGTTTCAGTACCAGGCCTCCATTCCACCCTCTTCTCTGTATCTTTTGAACGTGGCTCCACGACTAGTCACAACCTTTCATTTCTTCCGCACACGATCTCCTTCTATGTCACTCAACTGGCCGTTTCCCATCTGGGTTCCACTCGACGGCATGACGCGTGATGTCCCCAAATAGTCTTCTCAGTGCATGCCTAATCCAACCCATCTCCACTTTCTTCTACATATTTATTGAGCAATAGGTTCTTTCTACGTTGATTCGTCACCATACCAGAGTTCCTTGTTGGTTATTCTTTCTGGTCATCTATGTTATTTTCAGTATCGAGTGAGTGTAGGTGGCAGCTGTTGATGAATCTGTGTAGTTTCTCAACCATCACATAGAAGCACTGACTTGACTGGATTAGTGTTGAGAATCTGGATCTTGTTCTTTGTACTGAGTGGAGTGCAGTATATGTTCACACTGATTTCAGATGAATGAAGGAAAACCTGTCTTGTTGTCTTTCCGATCCTGGTTCTGACATCCTCGTTTATACCTGTGCCGTCTGTAGTTGAACACCTATATTTTAAACAGTATCGAATTGTTATGCATACAAATTATTATAGAAAAGAGTATCTATACAATAATACCTGTTACAAGAAATAAACATGTTTACATTATCATTGATACATTAATATTTCTGTATACGATATTGAAATTTCAGGAAAAAGGACATAGTTTATTCGGGTTACCTGAATGACAAATGATTGAATACAGAGAAATGATCATGAGAAAAGTAAAGAAAATCAACTATCAAGCCAAAGATTATGTATAGAAACAGCAAAGAGTTAAAAAGAAGTAGAAGTTGTTCATCACAAATTTTCCTCTCTTTTTTTTGTTTTTGTTTTCTTTCTCTCTTGCAATCAACTAATCTTTTCTGTCATATGAATTCTTTAATTAGAATAAACAATAATAAATAAGTAGAATAAAAATATTATTATTATTAAATGCTTAATTAGTTATTGTATGAATAAAAAGAATCTAATGAGACATTGAATTTGTCCAATAGTCAATGACCTACAATTCTATCTGTGTTTGTTCAATAGGTTCAATTAATGGCGGGAAAATCATTCTATTGATAGCTTTCTACTCATTAATTTATTTACAAAATATAATATTATCTAAGAAGAAAATTTATTTATTTCAATACTAAAATGTTACTAATAATGAATAAAAACTTTATATATATATATATATATATATAATGTATGATGAAGTTGTTCATTGGTAACAATACATCAAGGTTATTGAATAAAGATGGTTAAGTTTTCACTGTTTTCTTTTAAAATTATTTACTCTCATTCCGGATTTATTACATTGATATCATCGGTTAAATTATGCATAGATTGAGAATTTGATTGATGAAGAATATTATTGGGTGAAATTTTTTCGTTATCATTATTATTATTATTATTATTAGGATCATGATTATCTAATTGATGTTTTATACATGTTGAATTGAATGAATTCTGTGATGAATTACGTTTATATCGCATAAATTTTGGTAATTTCAACCTATCTGATGATGTAATCTCATTGTCTGTAGATTTATATTGTACATTATGACTAGTTGATAATATATCATTTTCAGTTGATTGATTTAATCTTGTTATTATACAATTATTATATAATTTATTACGATTTAATTGTTTACGTTTACGAAATTTTAATAAATGTTTTATATTTAAATAACCTTGATTGTTATTATTATTATTATTATTGTTATCATTATCATCATTATCATCCTCATCATCATCATCATTATCTACTTCATGTTCACTTAAAGTTTTTTCAGGTGTATCAACTGAACTAACAATTTCTTTAACTAAACATAAATCTTCAGTTAAATCTTCACGATTACTAACAATTGATGGATTTTGACCAATTTTATTTAGTCTTTCAGCTGCAACTGATTCCATTGTTCTACGCATTAATGGATAATTTTCTAAGACGGATAAAAAACTTTCACGATCTAATGAATATAGATTTGAATAGACTACAGCTTTAACACTTGCTACACGACGGGCATTTGTAAGTAATGTAATCTCTATAATAAATAAATAAATAAATATATTGAATTACAAATAGAAACATTATTTTAATGATTGAAACAAAGTTATGATTAAGTTTGCTTACTGTTGAAGATGATAAAAAGAAAAAAAAAGGCGATAGGCTAGCTGATTCAACCTTCTATGACCAAGGAAACAATGACCATCCTGTTGAATGAAGATTTAAACCTTCAAGAACTTTATTGGGATCATTGATATCCAGACAAATTACAAAAGCAGTAATACAGAGACTGGAAGTTACAAAGGAGAAAAAGTCAAACAGCTAACTATCATTCCTGGATGTTATAGTCAGTAGAACAAATGTTGTATTGTTGGAAACCCAAGAGTACAAGAAGCTGAAACACACTAATGAAACTCTTAACTACAACACCAACAATCTAACAACGCAGAAAAGAAGAAAATTTTTTGATGTGGAACAATATCCGGATTTTTAACACCAACATCAAATCAGTGCTGCTGTATAGCTCAGAGACTTGGCGCACTACGAAAGGCATTTCCAACAAACTACGGATATTCATCAACAACTGCCTAATCTGGCTCGTTACTGAAGATCAGATGGATTGCCAGAAAGAATAAGCAACAAGGAGCTCTGGGAACGAACCAACCAAGAACCTATCACTCAACAAATATGCACTGAAAGGAAGTGGAGATGGATTGGGCATACACTGAGAGAACCGACTGGGGACATCACGCGTCAAGCCCTCGAGTGGAATCCCGATGGGAAGCGACTAGTTGGGCATCCGAGGCGAGGGTGACTTCGAGGAGATCGTGCGAGGAGGAAATGAGAGCTCCTGGATTGTCGTGGAGAGAAGAATGGAGGCGTGCTACTGAATGTGCATGTTCCATTAAGAACCCTAGGGACAAATAATATATGATAATAATCCTAAAGAAGAACGGCTACTGGCGAAATTTTATCAGAAAATTACTATCTCGTACATCATCAACTAACTACAAAGTCATCGACAAAAATCAATAAATTCATCATCCTACCGTATATAAAGGATATATTGAAGGTTACGACAAGATAACTGAGACCACTTCGAATTGGTGAAGCTCATAAGTCAACAAATGTCACCTGAAACACTACTCTACAGACCAAACGATCCAACAGCCGAAGAAGAAAAACCGAATATCACTTACGAAATCAGCGGTAATAATTACGGTTAACTTGACATTGGATAAAATGGTCACCCGCTTCGCCGATTGACTACTAAATGTCACGCACAACATTTCACCACTCATCTCAACACACATACATAACAACTATGTGCATGAATTCAATTTCGATAGTGTAGAAATCTTGCACGGAGAAAGGAAACACAAAGAATGTCAGAGAATCCCTAGAAGCTTAGTATTCATATCAATCAGTCAGTCAGCAAGCAATAGATGTATAGATGTAAGCCCAATCATCCAACCAATAAGAAAAATGACCAACAACAGAAAGGTCAGAGGTTAAGCAGAGGAACAGTCAACAAGAAAATGTACACAGTCAATGATACAGCAATCAAAGGAGACAATCAATCACAAGCCAGTTCATCAAAGCAAGCTTCTGAATGATCGACGGAGAGATAATCACAGCTGACCTCATATTGGAGTTAGTGCTGATAACGTTGTCTAGCAAGACGATGAAAGATCCACGAATAAACAATCCATTTCAGAGACCACAATGCAACTAAGATTCCACTCACGTTTTCAGTGGTTCCTCAACTTACATTTCCTTATTACTTGGTTTCCTTGAATGATATAAATTGTAGATAAATTAATGGGCCTATACATTTACAGTCTAATTCATTGAAAAACTGTATGATTTTTCATTGTTGAACGTTTGGAAATTCCCACTGATAACCGCTTCATATTTCTTTTGCTTGTCTTTTCGATTCATCTTCATCAGAGTTATACTTCAATGAACCACATACGTCGTGACCAGTAACCAAGCATCATGAAAAATAAACGCAGTCTTGTATCTGAACATTTTTTAAGATTCTACTTGAACTACAAACCACAATCATCTCACATAGCCAAAATGGTAATAACCCAGTTGTTTTCATTTGGCTGGTAGTATCCTAGTGTGCCAGAGATGGCCGGACTAAAACATGGCACCAATGCATAAAGTCTTTGACTGTTGGTTTTAGCCATGTCGGGCGATGCAGACTAGGTGGTTGGGGTCCGCGGGACAAGAGGAACCAGTGGTTGGAGACTGACTCTAGGTGATCACATGGCTGAGAACCGAAGTCAGTGGCGCAGATGTAACCTCACACTCATTATCCTCATCCTAACGACGCTATACCGAATCTCACCACTTTCTCATTCTTCATTGCTCTCTTTTTGTACTTTATTTTTCTTTTGATTGAAGTTTCATATCTTCATCTTGCACCTCGCTGCCCTTTTACTAGATGTAGTGATATGAGGTGTGGCGACTCGAACCGTTATGCATTAATGCCAGGTCCTAGGTTGATCTGGATGGATGATTCTAGTGTGCACAGAATATGGTGTAGTAATTACAATAAATTGTTTTTCATATCAACGACTAACTAACTAAAGGTGATGATAATGTGAAGGGAGACAATAAAACAGTAATGATTATATCACCCAACAACAATCAGACCATCCAATTTAGCTGCCAATACTATCATATCATATGACGTTAAGCACATTGTACTAAAGTGACTTTCGTAAGTGAAAATATGATTTACGACTTGTAAATTGGAAATAACTTAGTGACAATGATGGTAAATACAAGACACCTAAAGGAATATTTTAAACTACTGCATTTCATGTAGTTCACTTAACTGTGGTAACTTCTAATATACATAAATATATTTGAAGACATGTTCAGTGGTTCCTTTTCGTGATGTACTAATTTGAAAGTTATTTCTACTATGGAATCAGAAACAAAGTATTCAACGAAGAGGACTCTTTTCAACGAATTTATTCTCTAGCTGTGCATTCGTATATTTATTATTATTATTAGTCCCTTGGGTTCCAAGTGGAACATAGGGCTTCAGTAGCAAGTCTCCAGTGAACTCTGTTCTCTGAGATCTTTTCAACCTGGCTCCACGACAATCCAGGAGCTCTCATTTCCTCCTCGCACGATCTCCTCGAAGTCACCCTCGCCTCGGATGCCCAACTAGTCGCTTCCCATCGGGATTCCACTTGAGGGCCTGATGCGTGATGTCCTCAGTTGGCCTTCTCAGTGTATGCCCAATCCATCTCCACATCCTTCCACTGCATATTTGTTGAGCGATTGGTTGTTGATTGGTTTTTTCCCACAGTTGTTTATTCTTTCTGGCCATCTGAGCTTCAGTAACGAGCGTAAGCAGTTGTTTATGGATGTCTGTAGTTTATTGGAAATCCCTTTGATAACGCGCCAAGTCTCTAAACCATCACATAGAAGCACTGACTTGATGTTGGTGTTGAAAATCCGTATCTTGTTCCGCATGCTGAGTGCAGAAGATCTCCACACTGGTTTCAGGCTAATGAACGCCTGTCTTGCTTTTCCGATTCTGACTTTGACGTCCTCGTCCGTCCCGCCTGTAGACATTCGTATATATACACCTAATATTTAAAGACTGTAATCCATGAGGAAGATTTAACTGAAATTGTGGGGAGTTGAAACAATAATGATGATGGTGATAATTATAATGTTGATAGTTGATGATATAAAAGTGGAATGGTAACAAAAAGGTGTTACGTAAGATTTTCAAAACGTTTATAAAGTGTATATAGGTTTAAAAAGGGTTGAGAACATTAATAAACAATGAAAGGTGATTAGGTAATATCAATGAGACAAATTAATCAGAGTAAACTGAAGATCAAATGATCATCTAACACAGGAAACAAATAAATACAAAAAACAGAGTGATAATGACCATATAAAAGTACAAAGATTAATCTGACAAAAAAGGGGGAAGGGGATGAAAAACAATAAAAGAGGACGAAGCATACCAGGACTAAAATAAATTAAGGCCAAGGCAGAGACAAAGACTGTATATACTTTTTTTGAGCACAAAGGTCAGGTAGGCTTCAGTTTATGGATAGCCAAGACCTCTGCTGTTTTTAGAAGCTGAACATAAAGGAAACGTGAGGTGTTAGGTCGAATTCGACAGACAACTTTGAAATCGTTGTTTAGGTCGGTTGAATGGTAGGAATCGATTAAATGCTCTAGGATAGAACTTCTGATGCATTTCCTTTGATCCTTATAACATCAAGGCGGAATATGTTCTTGTATACATGTTGACAGCAATTTCTGACTACGGCCGATGTACCTGTTGTCTCACTTATATTACCTAATCACCTTTGATTGTTTATCAATGTTCTCAAACCTTCTTAAGCCTATATACACTTTATAAACGTTTTGAAAATCTTACGTAACACCTTTTTGTTACCATTCCACTTTTATGTCACCAACTATCAACGTTATAATTATCACCATCATCATCATTATTGTTTCAACTCCCCACAATTTCAGTTAAATCTTCCTCATGGATTACAGTCTTTAAATATTCGGTGTAAATATATGGATGTACAGCTAGAGAATAAATTCGTTGAAAAGAGTCCTCTTCGTTGAATAGCTTGTTTGTTTGATGCTACTATGGAATGATATAAGTTGAAGAATGAACAAAAACCTATTTTGCTAGGTGGGAATTCTCAACAGTGTAAGCATCCACGAACTGATGAGGATAGAGCCCAGTACTGCCAAGTCTGACAACTAGCATCTTAAAATTCAACCAATCAACTGAAATTGAATGATTGATAAATTAATAATTCTGTTTACTCTATTTTTTGCCAGTTATGGTTACACAATGCTAAGGTGACCCAAATTAGGATGAAACATTTTTTTAGTTCTCTCAGGCTTTAAAAAACTACTCTAGCTACTATCCTTATGAATTAAAAACTGAATAAGTTTCTAGTAAACATTAGTAACCTAAGTCGAGATGAATTTTCCAATGTTCTAACGCAAAACTGTAGAATCTGATGGTAACAAGGGTATCAACCGGTTGCTAGTCATACAATATCGCAAAATGAAGGACGTAGGAATTCAGCAAACTAGTTGAATGGTAACTTAGTCACAGTGGGATTCAGCAATCCTGTGCTAAATCTCTAACACGTAGGTTTCCATAAGAAACGATAAAAAGTTATCCAGTTCTCCTGAATGACAAAATAGTTTGAGGTTAATATGTTCACATAAATAGATAACTTAAATCTTGTCTAACGTACTAAGACAAAACTTTAGGATTGAGAAAAATAGAGCTTTAGTACAATGACAGTAACTTTTACTTCAGATAGCTCAATGATTGATTCTTTCCAGCTCATTTTATTTACAAAGATATGTAATTGTGGTCTCAGACTTCGGTCAATTCCAGTACACTGTATAATACACAAACTGGTTCGAAAACTATTTACTTTATCATTCCCCTAGAAATTAAAGTAATAGTCGCTTTATTTCAAACTAAAATGACCTTCGACAACGTCGATCGAGAAGTAATTTGGAAACTGCTTCACCACTACGCTTTCAATTTCACAAACATTTATCAAACCTCATTCCACAACACCCATATGATGAGGCTACATGCCAAGTGAATTCACAACACAATGACAAGCTCACTGATGCGATTTAAGTGAAGATAGGAAGGAGTAAGACAAAGCGGTTGCCGCCATCATCTTCCTGATCTGATTGTGATCGACAGGAGTGAAGTAAACCAAGCAGTAAACTGTGAGGAGTGAGGAGATGGACATATGCTGACTTGACCTATGAATAGACCTCAGAAGAAGATTTGGATTTTGTGTGATGTGTTATGTCGCACAAACTCGAAGATATCAGACAAAAATTAACAAGTAGGCAGGAGAGGTGAGGCAGCGAAGCAAGACGGGACTTCGTTCAAGTGAATGAAAATTGAGAAGACAGAGGTGATGAGGATACCCGACAACAACCATCACCAACAACAACAACTACATCAACAACAATAGCCAAAAGTACCAATCATCATGAACGGGAAGAATCTAAACGTAGTTGTCTCCTCCACACACCTACCTGCCTAGATAGCATCGTCTCAACTAGAGGTGGGGACGGTGGCACGAATGACGAAGTCGGAGTCAGCCACGATTAGAAAGACATCAAGACAGACCTTCCTTCATTAATCTGAAATCAGTGTGTACGTCTACTGCACTACACTCAGCATAAAGTGTGAAGAATATTCGGATTTGGAACACTAATGTTAATCAAGTAAGTCAGTGCTTGTATGTGAAATTTGAGAGACTTGGTGCGTTATGGATAGCATTTCCAATAAACTAGTAACATACGAGCTGCCACCTACTCTCCCACGATACTGAAGATCAGATAGATGGACAGGATAGTAAGAATAAGTTACAAGGAACTCTAGCTGACTGGCAACGAACCAACCAAGGAGATGTTTTTGAGTATTCAGTGAGAAGACCATTCGGGGATATCACCCGTTGGACCAAGCCCGGCCATCGAGTGGAACTCAAATGGGAAGTGATGAGTTAGGCGTCGGACGGTTAAATGTAGGAGATGGTATGAGGATGAAATGAACCGTTATAGGCAGTTGTGAAGCCAGGTTGTAAAGGCTGCGGAGATGAGATTGAAATGGTGATGTGCTACTGAAGGTCAATGTTTCACAACAAATAATATTTTTAATTTATTCCAAACTATATATATGACAGTATGGAATTCTCAGCAAATTCAATGTCAGAGCAGTACTTTCAGACGACATAGTTATTGTATTGGAATGATGTTGATAATAACAGTATTCAAGGCAACAATGTGAAATAGTCAACTGGTTCTGGACGGGCATCTTGTCCATAATGATGAATCAACAGAAATCCAAGCATAATTCTGGTTGTGGTGGTTCATTCAGATGGTACAAAAATCTGCAACTGAAGCTAAGCATCTGATGGATAGAAATATGATGTACATTTTCGTACCGAAAACTCCATCTCCGTATGATGTAACATTTTTTATCTACTCTGTTATTAACTCGAGAAATGGGGAGTTGAAATCAGTTTAAAAATGTGCCAAAGTACATGATACATTCAAAGGACATATTTAAATGATTAAAACAAATTGAAAAAAATTAGATGTTAAATATTCAATGGATAAATTTGGTATTTCAAGGTTGAAGCAGGCCGTCAACACTTCTCATTTCATTGTCATATATCAAGTAAAATTGAAACTAATTTTACACTATAAGTAAATTCTTTTTAATGAATAACTTACCTCCAAAATATGATCCATCTGATAAACTTGTTGCAACTTCACCATCTTTAGTAATTATATCAACAATACCTTCTTGAATAAAATACATTTTATTTCCAATTGTTCCTTCTTTAATAATTAAATCACCTGGTTGAAATACTTCAAATTTTAGTTTAGTTACAACTTCTGAAACAAAATCTTGATCTGCATAAGTGAAAAATGGAACAGCTGCAACTAAGGCACGACAATTGTAATTGATAACTTGCTATAATGATAAACATAGAAGGAGAAAATAGTTTGACAAATAAAACATTATATAAATATAGGAACAAGATAATTTCTTTATTTAAATGGAAAATATTTAGTTGAATGAATAAAACAAACCATATTTGATGATTATATGAAACTATAGAAGACGATTACAGTCAAGAAATATCATTACTTTTCGATGAAATTATTCTCTTAGCTATACATTCATGAATATATGTCGTATACAAGATAGGGTATACCAGAGTAAATTCCAGTCAATGATCAATATAAATTGTACAACAAAATAGATAATGAAAAATAGTTACATCATGAGGAAATTATCTGGAATGATCCATGCTCTACCATTGAATTTTATCATAGATATTCTTATGAGAAGCCTCCCTCTCGTCACTTGATTACATCAACGTTGACCTAATCGGTGAAGAATTTTCCTTAGACTTAGAATATTCAGATGACATTGTCTTGTTAGGTAAAGATGCTGACAAGATGCAGAGTCTTCTGAACACTTTGATTGGGAATATGAGAATGTTTGAGATGCGTTTCTCACCGCACAAATGCAAATTATTGCTCCAGGATTGATCTTCAACGGTGTAATGGTTGAATGTGTTGACAACTTTACTTACCTAGGAAGTGAAGTAGGATCAGCCCTGATGGCTCAGTGGCCAATGAAATATCTGCATGGGTACAAAAGGTTCGATTGGCTTTCGCCAACTTACGCCACCTGTGGCACCGCCGCGATATCCATTTGTCTATTAAGGGTAGCGTGTACTGCACAGCAGTCCACTCTCTTCTACTGTATGGCTGTGAAACGTGACCATTCAAGGTGGAAGACATGAGAAGGCTTCATGTGTTTGACCACCGTTGCCTTGGTAGTATGGGCCGTATTCCGTGGTATCATTACATGAGTGAGTAACGCACAAGTGAAGAGTAGAGTTTTACGGAGAAGGGCTAAGTCGGTTGACGAGGTTGTGAAACTTCATCGACTGAGATGGATGGAACACGTGTTAGTATGCCTAGTCACCGATAGTCTCGTCACACAATGTTGGCTGAAGTAGGTCCAGGCTGGAAAAAGGCCCGAGGTGGCCAGACTAAAACATGGCACTAATACATAAAGTCTTTGACTGTTGGTTTCAGCCACGTGGGGCGATGCAGACTAGGTGGTTGGGGTCCGCGGGACAAGAGGAACCAGTGGCTAGAGACTCTAGGTGATATGGCTGAGAACCGATATCAGTGTCGCAGATGTATCCCAATACACACACATTATCCTCATCTTAACGACTCTATACCGAATGTCACTACTTTCTCATTCGTCATTTCTCTCTTTTTGTACTTTATATTTCTTTTGACTGAATTCTCTTATCTTCATCTTCCACTTTACTGCCTTCCTACTTGATGTAGTGATATGAGGTGTGACAACTGGGACCGTTATGCATTAATGCCTGGTCCTAGGTCAATCTGGATGGATGGATGGCTACGACAAAGAAAGAGGTTGCACTTAAAAATGTTGATTCGCACTTAGGAATCGTAAATGTTTCAGTTATGCCCAAATGTCTTAACCTAACTTTCTGTAATTAATTTGGTCGTAAATTGTACAGTATTTTGATGGCTAAGTTGGATATCGTTCGCAAACACGTTGAATAACTTGATACATGGTAAAGTCAGTGTTTTTGACTTCATGGAAGGATGTAAACTAATATGTACATATAGATGTATCCCATTACTCTAGCTTAACCTCTGTATAATGGGGAATGAGATTCTGCTGGAAGAAAATGATTCTAAGATTGCCAGAGAAGAATATTCTCTTTATCAATTATGATAGCCTCTTTCTAAGTAAAAGTACCGCATTATCTCCTTTATTTCGACTTCATATTCTAATTTATTAATTTCTGTAGGCGTCTATTTTTCATAAGGATTTATTGTAAAATTTCTAGTTCATCATCGATGTTATCTGTTTTGAAGTAAGAAAATTCATAAGATAGCTCTTTCTGCTTAGAGGGATATTATACTTTCTCCTTTTCTGTTTTCCTTCTTTTTCCATGATTCAAATTACTCTGTTGAAACTAATTTTATTAAATAGGTTGATAACCTGATGGTGTCTATTCCAGTTGACACATTTAGAATGCTCTGAATTAAACGAATTCTTGTCTCTTATCGACCAATGGTCTCTCTCAAATGGTCTCAAGTTAAACCCTTCTAAATGTCCGACTGTTAATTGCAGCCTCAGGTGTAAACAAGATTTGTGCGAGCTGCTCAAATCTGATGACGCCTGTTGCATGAATGGTATTTCTGCAGAAAGTAAACCGAGTGTTAACTAGCTTAGATTGATCGTCTCATATCTTGTTGAATTGTAAACAACTCTTTCATTTAACACATTACATAAAGAAACTGAGGCTTTCTGGTATAAATCAACCTCTGCGCTTACAATGAATTCTTCTGTATTGTTCCCATTGATTTTTCCTGGTCTTCTTAAAAAGGACTATGTTATGTTGTGTAGGGCTTTGAAAGCCATTAGCAGGGTGAGTGGTGTACCTCTGGCTCAATTGATTAACAATGTAGTTGATCGACATATAAATTCCTGCAAGCTACTAGCTACAGAAATTTTAACTGACAGTGAGTATCCACTTCATTTATAGCTCTCTCCATGTATCTCCTCAAGGAGGACAAGGAAAAACTACATAAGACTGACTGTATGCTCGTACAGCTAAGTATACGAATTTGACTGTACCTTATCTTGCAGGCATATTTTGTGAGGAAAAAAGTGTTAGAACAGAAATCACACAACAACTGTGTAACAGTTAAAAATCCTATTTCAATCATTTAATTAACATTTTGAGGGGGTTGTGGAGATTTGGAACTATTTCAAGTTGTTATTCATCGTAGACTGACATCAGTTGGAGGAACAAAGGAAACCTGGGAGCACTGGACAGCTGGCTGTTTCGTCCCAGTATGGGACTCCTCAGTAGTGCGCACCCACGACCCCACCAGCAGGGATGGAACCCGCGACCTTCAGATTCCGCGGCCAGCGCGTTACCATTGAGCTAGACACTGGGTCAGAATCCAATGCTCCATATTTCCAACTTCTGTTAGCTCACGATATATAGCGCAACCGCCACCCATTGTCATCGCTGAGTATTTGTCCTCATGGCCATCAGGCTTTGACTCCCGACTTGCCATTGGAACTTCGGGAGTCAAAGCCTGATGACCATGAGGACAAATACTCAGCGATGACATTGGGTGGCGGTTGCGCTATATATCGTGAGCTAACAGAAGTTGGAAATATGGAGCATTGGATTCTGACCCAGTGGCTAGCTCAATGGTAACGCGCTGGCCGCGGAACCTGAAGGTCGCGGGTTCCATCCCTGCTGGTGGGGTCGTGGGTGCGCACTACTGAGGAGTCCCATACTGGGACGAAACAGCCAGCTGTCCAGTGCTCCCAGGTTTCCTTTGTTCCTCCAACTGATGTCAGTCTACGATGAATAACAACTTGAAATCTAATTAACAGTATGAAACCCTCTCACTTTTAATATTCTTTACATTACTTAAATTTTTATACTAACACAATACGAAATGTTGTAAAGTAGTATGTATATACAGATATATTTTGTTGTTATTGGGGTATATCATGCTGAGAATTCCAAATTGTACCACAAACTGTTTGGAATAAAGTGAATTATTGTTTGAAAATTGATAAACTGTCTTTTCAAGGTGACTTTTCTGTAGGAAACTTTTGTTATACTTCCAAAAGAAGTACTTACATTGTTTTTCCTTTTGCTATATCCATCGTAGAGTATCGATTATCCTAGATAACTGTCGTATGACGTAACTATTCTTATTTTGTACTCATTTTGTTTAATTTCCCCAATTACTCTGCAATCCCTTATCCTGTCTATAACAATATAAATATGAATGTATAGCTAAGAGAATAATTTCATCGAATAAGAATGGGTTTTTTTTTCACCATCGTGGTCTTGTGTGTTTAATAAATGAGCTTATCAGCCTACTTTTACCGAAGAAAGAAACATTAAGCAACCACATTTTTAATTACTTTTCAATAAAATAAGTTATACAAATTGAAAGTGACTTTCTATCACAACGCTTAGCTAGAGTAGTCAGTTGGATGTTTTATGCAGGTCGGCGTTTCATATCATTCAGTAGTTGATCAATGCTCAATCTAAGACTAAAGGATAGCCTACCTAATCTTAGCTGTTCATCTTGCATATATCAATTTAACTGCTCCTGGGGAACTAGTTGCATAGGGCATACGATTAGACAGGTGCGTCTCCAGATACGACAGTATTTATAAGCTTAGTTTGGAAATGTCACAGTGAAAGTGTGAGAAGTTCAGTCGTAGCGCATCTAGTTGACACACGACATTATATAGATGCTAATAAAGTTTTCAATGTCATTCTTCGTGTTCCAAAATCGACATCATATGTAGATCTGCAACGCCTGCTCAAGATAGCGTAGTCATCTTAATAAAATTGATCAACCTTGAACTCTGTATTAAGAAAGAATATATCCAAGAATCACTTCTTCCGTGGTCTCCAACAAACTAAAGGTCATTGCTGCCATCTTAATCGTTACCTTTTTGTTCACCATCATATCATTGTTCTATATATTATTATATTATTATTTGTCCCTTGGGTTCCTAATGGAACATAGGGCTTCAGTAATACGTCTCCAATGCTCTCTGTTCCCTGAAATCTTTTGAACCTGGCTCCATGACAGTCCACAAGCTCTCATTTCCCCCTCACACGATCACCTCCACCTCAGCTGAGACGCCCAACTCGTGGTTTTTTATCTGGGTTCCACTCGAGGGCCTGGCGCATGATTTCCCCAGTCGATCTTCTCAGTGTATGTCCAATCCATCTCCACTTTCTTCTGCATATTTGTCGGGTGATAGGTTCTCGCTTCATTGGTTCGTAGCCATGCCACAGTTGCCTGTTGTTTATTCTTATTATTCTGGTCATCTGATCTGCTCTTCAATATCGAGTG